TTCTCCCAAATTCTAATCTTCTGAATTCTTCATGTCCTTTATTTTCTTTCCAAATCTATTCCACTGGACTATACTCCTTTAATAACATCATCAAACCTTAATGTTCCCTATCACTACTTATACTTTCACTACACTGCCACTACGGGATATGAGACGATAATTGAATCTCCGTGCTTATGTGGTATGGCAACTCGAACTGATGTACGTACATACGAAGTTCCACGTTGTTTCTGACTGACTTTGACTGACTGTTCAGCACTACCAAAAGACTCTGCATTTCATCAGCGTCTTCACCAAACAGGACTATGTCATCTGCGTATTCTATGTCAATAAGTGTACCTCCTGTTAGGAGATCGTTTCACGAAAATTCAATCTACGAGAACGTTATTTCCATCAGTAGATCTATGATGAAGTTAAACAAAAATGGAGAAAGTGGACAGTCTTGACGGACGCCACTTGAGGTCGCAAAAGCAGAAGACAGTTCGCCATAAGCTCTGACTCGACTAGTAGTGTTCGAGTAAAGAGCCTTCACAAGGTTTATGTACTTCTGAGGTACGCCTTTCAAAGACAGACACTGCCACAGAACCTCTCGGTCAACAGAGTCAAACGCTGCTTTTAAGTCAAGAATGACTACCATTGTCGGACGCCGATAAACATGCCTGTGTTCTAGAACCTGACGAATGGTGAATATGTGGTCGATGCAGCCACGACCAGGTCTGAAGCCAGCCTGATTTTCACGTGTTTGCAGTTCACGAGTCTTAGTTAGGCGTCCGAAAATTATCGAGGCTAGTATTTTAGATACTATATTAGTTAAACTAATCCCTCTATGGTTGTCACAGGATGATTTTGACCCTTTCTTAAATATTGGGACGATAAGTGATTGTGACCAGTTAGATGGGATAACGTCTAACTCCCAGATTTTAGCTAAAATATTAGTCAACCTAATCGCTAAAACTAGACCACCATCCTTAAAGACCTCTGGGGCCAATCCATCTGGACCAGCTGCCCTTCCTCGTTTCAGATTAACTATGGCCTTTTGAACTTCAGCTAGAGTTGGGGGACCTACTTCAATGTTCCATTCATACTGTCTGGGAATAGAGGGTAGTTGTATAGTAGCTGAGGGCCAGCTGAACTGCTCCTTAAAATGTTCCGCCCATCGTTCTAAACGTCTGGACTGGGAGCAGATGAGAGTGTCGTCTTTTTCCGAAATAGTCTGACTTACACTTGATTTATTAATTCCAGTTTCTTTTATTAGTCTGTAGAGTTGTCTTGTGTTCCCTATAGCCGCCGCCTTTTCCATCTCTTTTGCTTTCGTTGCCCACCACTGCTCACGATCGTTCCTTAGACTTTTGCTTAACCTAGATCTGATTTCTTTACACTCTTCATCGTGTTCAGAACCTGATGGGATGAGTTTGCGAGAATCTATCAGTGCAATAGACCTTGACGAAATCCATTGGTTCTTTGTAACCCTGTGGTTTAACTCACTGGTAGATGTCAATGCTGTTTCCACAGCTGCTTGTATAACTTTCCAATCAACATCGGGGTCAGCCTCGTTTTCAGAACTACCTAAGTGTGACCTCAGTTGTTCTTGGAACCTACTTTTGGTTTTCTCATTACTCGATTCGGTTCTAATGAGTCTTTTTTGTGTGGCTCTTTTGCGTCCAGTGAGGCGCAAGCAGATGCGTGCTCGTATTAGGGCATGGTCGGAGTCCAAACAGGTACATCAGAATGAGCGACAATCTTCTATCGATCCTCACTAACGATGACTGATGGCAATATGGTCTATTTGAGTCCATCGTTGGTTTGGTGCAGGGGGTCGCCATGTCAGACGATGTCTCTCCTTATGCTTAAAATTTGTGTTTGCTAAAAATAAACGATTGTCTGAGCACAGTTGCAGCAGACGATCACCATTATCTGTTCGCTGTGCCAGAATACTAAAATACCCACCTAAATGTCTTTCTGTTTCGTTTAAGCTACCTACCTAGGCATTAAAGTCACCTTCTACGAGTACTATGTCTGAACGTTTAGCTTTCTGAAGAAGTTCAGACAGCTTTCTGTAAAATTCATCTTTCACTTCATCCGAACTGCAGTCAGTGGGAGCGTAGGCAGAAACGACGAAAAGGCAACGACGTGTGTCCCTATCCTTTCGAGTTATTACCGAGCCGTTTAGCCGAACAACGCATAGACGACTATTAACGGGGATCCACTCTAATAGCGCTTGTTCCGCCCTCATGCTTAGTGCTATGCCTACACCTGCAAGTCTACGAGAACTAGCCATCGGGTCGCCAGATACACGGAGGGTGTATCTCGTCGGCACTCCGTTTTGCCGAGGTGAGGTCAAGTGAATGACCGCACTAGGATCCTGTATGCGTATTTCGGAGACACAGCATACATCAATCGTACGAGATTCTAAGGTTTTAGCCAAGGAAGCCTGCTGACCGATTTGGCATAGTGTGCGTACGTTGAAGGCTCCAATGTGTAGTTTGGAGCGAGGTTTCAGTAGACCTGGGACAGCGTTTTGCGCACTAGAATCGTTGGCTATGGTGACACTTGAGGAGGAAGTCAAAAGAGGAAGTTTAGGTTTGAAAGTCGATGTAGGAGGAATAATAGGGATTGAAGAGGGAGGTTGATTATGAATACAGTGGTCTTGAGTGCTGTTAGAGCTTTGAGGGCGGTTATCACTTCCCGGTTGCCCACACCGTGGAAGGGTTCTTTTAGAGGTACCTGAAAAGGAAATTTGATTAGAGGTAGTCATAGTGACCTGAGAGCGTGACCGCAGTACCCAAGGGACAGATGCTTGAGGTCGGTCACACACGACCTTTTTATGAGTAATTTTTGTGTTAGCTCCGTACTTGTTGACACCTTACCGCCGGAGACGGATATCCGTGGGATAAGGCGAGGTGTGCATTTTTAGTGTCGACCTTTTCTAACCCCACCCCTCCTTGTGGGAATGCAGCATTGCTGTCATGCTGGTTATCTGAAGGAAGCATCTTACTGCTGTCACACCTCTGTACAGTCAGCCGTACGACTTCGCTATCGGACCTTGGTTGTGTTGCTTTTAGTCTTACCGCCCTTCAACCGACCTGTCTGGCATGGTAGGACCTTGAGAAACGGTTGTTCCAACCAGTATAGTTCAGTTGCTTCATCACGATAGGCAAGCCCGATCACCACGTCAAGGTAGCAACAACGATCAGAGCAAAGGTGGTCTAACATCAATCGGTTTATGATCTTAATCAAAAACTTAATAATCTCCACAACCCCTATACTGGAAAAATGACTGAGTACAAATTTGGTACGATTATCAAGAAACCTTTTATTCATTTTTAATAGCTTCAAATTTTCTAAGTTGTAATTCGTAAAATTGTTTCCGGCGACTACAGACAATCGGATTTCTTACGGTCTTCAGACGACTGTTCATATGATGAACAGCTCCTTAGAGATATATTTCGCGCTAGTTTGAATAGTTAAGGTTTGCCAGCGTCAGTATAATTAAATGTGCGAAGTTTCGGAGTTTTAACATTAGGACAGTTATCATTTAGCCTAAGCACCTTTCACCATTATGAAAAAGATATCGTTAACCCATTGAGATGGAATACAAAAAGTTTTACTCTTGATATTATTAACGACATTGTATGATGTGATAAGGTAAGAATTAACCTTAGTAGTCGCACTCTGAATTTTATTGAAATGTGACATCCGAGATTCCGTATAAAAGCATGTTATGTTATTCTAGAAAGAAGCCAATTCTCTAATGAAATAATACAATAGGATGAGGTCAATCGAAACCAAATGAATTATTAGAAAGTACATTTCGAACAATCTGATCTGATCAGAACTATTTTACGTTTTGATACTACATTATTTAGTAACGATCATATTGTATCATAGCATATCAGCTTTGTATCTGCTTATAAAACCATAAAATTTTGATTCATAATTCTCACTAAAACTTCAATAATCAAAAATATTAGGCCTAATCATCATCCAGGACATTGTAAGACAATTACACTATATCTAAAAAGTGATTTAGGTTAGAAATGTGAACATAGACTCCGAATAGGTAGTCTATAGATATATCGTAAACATAGAGAGACTTGAAGGATCAGTGGGTCTGATTTGATGTGAAATAGCGAATACCCATTACAAAAAGATCACGATCGAAGATGAAACAGTACCCTCTGGTTTTCAGTAGAATTTGATTTGATTTCAGTTTATGACGAAAACTCAACCACCAACTTTTTGGCAGGAAAAATACCTGATTGGTCTATTTTTGACCAATCAGTGCTAATAGATGAGCTGAAAAGACTCTTGAACATTCCTGGGTAAGGTTTGCATACACATTGACATTCAGTCATCTGCTATTTTTCTCCATAATATAATTATATTCCTATCCAAGTTGTATTTTGATTTGGGAACCAGTTAAGTGAGTTAAGCGTCGAATCTTATCGACTTAAGATGTTTGACATTAATTAATAAAATACAATAATGTACCCTAGTTATTTATAGAGTATATTACAAAAGTGCGGGATTATTCTGTATTCCTTTATAATGTAAGCAATCCCGATATAAATTATAGTGTTTTTAGCTTGAAACTAATCATAACAGTATACCTGTTAAAATTGTGAACGTAAAAACACTGGGACACATGGATAGCTTAGATTAAATTGATGAGATTACAAATAAAGAAGCTTTAGAAGATTATAGAGACCGAAATAATGAAGTAAACCGAGGGAATAAATAAGAAATAAGTAAAATGTAAAAACATAGTTTTCAAGGGCTAAAAGGAAAAAATCAGTAGCTGAGACACTCAATTATCAACAAGTAGTTTATTAGTCTATATCCCGTTATACACTACCGTTCGAGTTAAACGGTGTCATTAGCTTCCAAACAGCTGTACGTGCGACTATAGTGTGTGTATCTCTACATACTCGGTAAACCATTAACGCCGTAAAGTGGTTATACATTTCGAGAAATATATATGTAAATTATAAATTGCTCACCTTGTCCAACAATTTTTTCACAAAAGAATAATTCAACCATTCACCACATTTTGAACTGGACCGTTTGATATGTAATGGGGTTTTTTGATAATTTACTCTGATTAACATGAAAAAAAAGTACTAGAAATTATCAAACAACTCAGCATATTATTATCATATTATAGCTACTTCAGCAATTACAGGTTCTAATTACTCAGGTTTGAGCCATACTGTGTCGAGTGAGGGATAGTAATACAACAAGGCCGCTCAAAATGAAGTACGTTGAGTAAAGCCTGAATTTAAAAGGTACTGTTAGAAAGTTTAGTGGATTTATACTACTTCTGTCAGCTACAATGTAGGAACAGGCACATGCATGCATCCGTCCAAATTGTCATACCTCATTAGCACAACAAGATGGACACCAAATTCATAGTAGTTACTTCAATGGTGCCCCCAAATTCCCTGGTATGGCCGAGAATGGGGAGAGTCCGCTCTCCCTATCGAAATGCTCTCATATGGCCACGCGTATATAGCCTCTGTCAAGAAAGTCCTACTCACTGCCTTCTCGTGGCATTACTGTTGTTTACGAAAATGAGAGGACGAAAAGCGAATGTCCGGCGCTTAAACCGGATCCCAAACCAATGGTGAACATGGGCTGGCTCCAGTATCCTGAGTGAACAAATGGCGTATGAACCAATCGTTGGTAACCGGCTACCATGGGACTGCATCTCCTTACGATGCTCCACTGCCTTGTGGGTCAGACGTTCAGGTCGAAGGCTCGAGGTGTGGCCCCCTAAGAAAACTACCTGTTTTGGTTTTGGCACCCAGGTAGTATCACAGCCCTCACACATATCCAATGAGATCTGTGTGACGCATATGTTTTCGGTGCCTTCTTGTACCGATATCTGTGTTAAAATAATAATAATAATAATAATAATAATAATAATAATAATAATAATAAACTTCAATAGTGGTAATGTATTGAAAAAAATAAGAGTACACATAAGGATACGATACAGGGAGAAAGAAATAAAGGCATAGAGCAATTTTATTCTCACGGTTTGAAGACAAAGAATGTATACACCTATACCATTGTGATCGATTCTGAGTCATGTCACCAAGAGTCTCCATCTATTGGTTACGATAGACACGTGGACTCCAACAATGTATTCTGCATCTACTAACATGGCTCAGACTAGAAGTTGGTGACTCTATGGATTGATCCCATGTTTTGGTTTGGTATCCTCAACCCTCAGTGGCCACATTTCACAGCCTTGAACTGAAACAGAACCAACTGCCACGCAATATGCTCATCCCTTAATTGATAGACGGATATCTCGCCTTCGTCATAGATGACGTAAGTTAGCAAAAGCTAAACGAGCTTCTCGAATCCGTGCTGAGATTTCGTCAGACACTAACCGATTACGGCTGATCAAACTTCCAAAACAAGTGAAGTTGTCAAAACGTTCGACTACTTCACTCCCTTAGCTTAGTTCAGGTGTTGACGTAGACCAGTCCTGGAGCGACAACTTGCATTTAGAGAGTGATAAACGCATTATAAACACCCCCGCATTGTTGTTCAGCACTACCAAAAGGCTCTGCATTTCATCAGCGTCTTCACCAAACAGGACTATGTCATCTGCGTATTCTATGTCAATAAGTGTACCTCCTGTTAGGAGATCGTTTCACGAAAATTCAATCTACGAGAACGTTATTTCCATCAGTAGATCTATGATGAAGTTAAACAAAAATGGAGAAAGTGGACAGTCTTGACGGACGCCACTTGAGGTCGCAAAAGCAGAAGACAGTTCGCCATAAGCTCTGACTCGACTAGTAGTGTTCGAGTAAAGAGCTTTCACAAGGTTTATGTACTTCTGAGGTACGCCTTTCAAAGAAAGACACTGCTACAGTACCTTTGTTTCAAATCACTTAGAGATGTCTCTGTTGTTCCCCCACCTGTGTGCATATCTTTCCAATTACTCAAAAAGCGTATTTGAGTATACACTCAATGAGACCGTTTCCCTACATGTTTCCGATGCTTAACCACGATTTATCTTGAAGCTCAGTGCTAGTTGACGTGGAAATGGGTTTAAATAAAGTTGTAGGCGAACAAACCACAACATGCAATCGGTCCATGAAGTCATCAGCTGTTAGGATGTGTGTGGATTAATGCACACCATCTGATTTGGGTCCATGAAATAATCGCGATCGATAGTTAAACGACTTATGTGACAGTTCAAAAATCAGTCGGTGGACAAGGTGTGTTAGATCCTTAACGTTCACTACGTCTTTAGTCTAAGTATTATTTTATTGATTGATTTATTGATTTTAAAACAAAATACATGTTCTTTATGCTTTACAATCAAAGGTACTAGTGCTATTTCAATTACTTTAATATTTATTTAATTAATTTCACATCATTACGTTGATGTGGCGTATGTCAACATGAGTCGATAAACATCTGTGTAAGGTCGTACACTTCTTATGACGAACTGACTGAAATGTTATCCTTAGGCAATCTATCACATTTTATATTTGCTCTAGCAGGAATACTTAATGAAAATAAGGCATAAGACAAGTCAAGGGGAGTGACATTACTAATCAATGGTTACAAATCCATCACACTGATATCCCTGCTTGTTATTGTTTTTTCTAATAAAATAAGTGCCATATTATTTATTGGAGGTTTCTTCTTCAATAATTTAGGTTTTCTAATTTATTTATTTTCTGAGTTCCTATTTTACTCCATTGAGCATTTTACAGATTTAGAATTTATTAAAAATGATACACCGTTGCGTTATTTTCTACAAAGCACAAGAAACAATCGCCTCATGAATAAAATGCTAATCAGTACAAAAATCTATTTAGTGTAATAAAAATTCGGAGGAAATTACTAAACAAACCTGAAAAATTCTTCTAACGCAACGGGCTCCAATATTTCTTTGAGTAACTGTTCACCTTGTTTCAAAGGATTTAGGCTACTGGTAATCTGTTTCGAAGATACTGACAAAGTCTCAGAGCGGAATGAGGCATTCAAAACATCGTTTTTGGGAGATTGTATACAATCTTTTTCAGCAATCGTATTACTGCGTAGTCCCTGTTTAGGATCACACTTTTGTTTCTTTGCATGTAAATTTTGAAATTCCTGATCAGATTCAGAAGTTACATCTGCAGTGTTTAAACTGGATTCAGGATCTCTAGTTCTAGAACAGCCAACACCTGTTGCACAAGACCCATCTTTTTCCGAGAATTTACGCTTGCTTCGCCTTCGTTTCTTCTTAATATTACTTTTTTCGTTTAGTCGATTTGATGTTTCAGAGGTTAAGGGTTTTGAAATTCCATTTACACTGCAAGGGCTATTTAGTGTATCCAATGATCTAATTAATTTTTCGGTCAGCGACAAACCTTCTTCTGAGCTTTTAACTTTACCCTAAAATAAATACAGGTAAAGTATAAATCTGATGTTCTGAAAAAAAAAATTTTGAAAACTAATAGCAAAGTTTGACCTATCGATTTTAAAACCCACATACGTGAGATTTCAACTAGAATATTGCATTTTAGCAACCAATCAGTGATTATTTAAAATATATAAATGATCTCGGACGTTTTACGCGAGTAAGAACCCAGCTAGTTACAGACCTATACGAGTTCTCTCGTAAAAAGCTGTTTAAACGTCCAAACAATTTCCTTATGACGGAACGCGAAGCGATTATATATTAGCGACCAGCATTGTGGGTAGCATACTACATGTTAACGCGTTTTTTTTTCTTGGAATAAGAATAATCGCCACCACGGTCACAAGACAATTCAAAACCTACAATCAATTAAACTCAGTGTTAGATTCGGCCGGTGAATCTAAAATCTACTGCTGAATTAATGAAGGTTCATGGTGCACATATCCATCTAGAACGTTTATCAAATCATACCAAACGTAGATGAAGACTATCAGCCATAATGTGGTACTACTGTATTTAGTCAACTATATAAGAGATATCGTTAAGTAGGTGGGACCCTACCATACGCATGGAGACTGAAAACAAACTCCAACTTAATAGGAATGATCTCTGCAATGATTGACACGGTTATCCTCTACACACTGACCGATCGAAAGGTCAACCTTATTGCTGAAGGCCTTGCGACTTTCCTTTAGTATGTTCTAAGAAAGCTACTTTTAGTACATCCGAATTTAATATGAATTTGGAAAAGTCCTTACCTGACTGCTTAGTTTCTCTAAGCGATAAAAATCCCTCGCAGATAGCATTGTAAAAATCTATTCACGTGCTTTAATTTACTGTAACGCGTTGTCGGCGTTTATTTGAAGGTAAGGGAGATCTAAAAACAACATACAAACTAGGATCAGTGAATGTCCGAGGAGGAAGAACATGGAGTACCAGCAACAATGTATATATTTCAAAAACTCAGACAACTCTATTTTTATAAAAGGGAAAGCTTATTTACAGAGTAGTCTCGTACATCATCCGCAAATCCAGTTTGCGCAAGCCTAGTCCTTTTTCTACCAGAATATTTACCCTTTGTTGCCTTGAAATAAGAAACGGATTCACACTGATCACATTGAACGCAGTGACTTTCAAAATACACTACCCCGTCTCTCGGTGAGGCATCATCCTCAGTGCTTAGTTGCGTACACGGATATACCATACCTTCTTCTGATGGTACACCGTAAAGGTTGGTGGCGGACGACGTTTAAAAAGGGTATTCGTATCTCAATAGGTCTTCAGTCAGTCTTCAGTAATACGGATATTAGGTTGGTGAACCTGTGTAAATCATGACAGACTGCCTTCCAATGCAGGTCTAGCTTTCCTTCGAAAATATTCACTGAACGGACTAATACTTGTTTGGGTAAATCTTCCCAGTCATTGACTACTCTATGAGGAAAACGGGACCCAAATTTGAACGTACTTTATTCCCAGAACGTTAGGTAGCATATTAAGACCCTGTGGATCCAATGCACTGATGTGCAATAAGCTAAGAGATATTGCAACATCCCAACATCCAATCGACGACTTACTGACGAACAACAGTAAAAGAGCTTCAGTAGTGTGGTAGTTGGCATCTAACGAGGGAGTACTTTGTGTACTAGGGACACATACAGAGAAACGTGAGTGAAGAATGAAGAAGAAAAGACAAAAAGATGAGCTCACAACCCATTGGGAGCAAACAATGCACTTACATAAATCAAAGAATGTAATAAAAAACAACCAGACGTAACACAATCCTCAGATTGCGACAGTATTGCCCAATCTATCAATTTTGAGGAGCACGTAAGCAGCTTTTTGGAAGTCTTGTGAAAGCTGCCCTACAAATTCTGGAGAAACGACACAAATACCTCGAAATTCTCTTGGGGATGAAACTACAGGCATAGTCCCAACACGCTACGAGTAGTTCCGTTGGTTCTTTCCATCAGGTTATTACATCCCGAGTGGTATGAGGTAGTGTGTTGTCAGAATTCCAAATATCTGACACGTCTGAGCGATGAGATGACTCTTAATCATTGGGGCACGGTAAAAGTTACATACTTACAAAGTCACTCGCCGTTTCGTTTCCACGACCTTGAGTGGCCTAACAAGAGGCGGTCATTCCATATTTTAGAAGTTACTCGTAATTTTTTTTCTCCACTAAGATATAACAAGTGCTTTTTTAATTGATGAGCTAGTATCTGCAGTCCAATAGGTCTTAGCAGCTCACTCCTGAATGGCTGATATGTTAGCTTATGTTCAAATGGTTCAAATGGTTCAAATGGTTGCGGACGGAATAGGAGAAGCTTTCGCTTAACAGGCTTCCGTGTCTAGTAGCAGTGGATCACCAATACCTCCAGGCAAGAACCTAGGTATATTAACGATAAAAGAGAAAGAAAATGAATTGGTAAATCATAGTAGGATACTATCCTTAGTCCTTAAGAATAGATCAAGTCGCCTCTTAAAGGACTCCTGGGAAGTTGCTTGGACTAGCTCAGCTGGCAGCGAGTTCCAGCATTTGACAACTCTTAAGGAGCAGAAATTGTGTTTGCAGTCCGTTCTACTATGTTGTATCTCCAGTTTTTGGGTGTTACCCCTTAGGTTAGTGTTGGGACTAAGCTTAAGTAGGTGTTTAAGAGGGTGTCCAGGTGTGTTAAGGATACTGTAAGCCATTAGAATGTCACCTCTAAGACGCACATACTCTAATGGGTAAAGGTCGATTGATTGGAGGCGCTCATCGTAAGGTTTAAATTTGAGTCCCCGAACTGATTTCGTGGCTCGCCGTTGGATACGCTCCAGAGTGTCCTTATCCTTTTGGAGTGTAGGAGGGAATACTATGTTCCCGTACTCTAAATGGGGACGAATGAAACTATTGAAGATTATGTGGAAAGTTCTCCCGTCAAACTGACCAAAAATGCGCTTCAATGTTACCAGTGCAAGGTTTGCTCGAAAGGCATTTTTGTCACAGTTGGCGTAAGACTTTAAGTCGAAGGGCACCAGGACTCCTAAATCTTTTTCGACTCGGGATACTACTAGAGAGGAGTTTCCTAAGTTGTAACTGTAATCTGCGACGTGTCGCAGATGGACTACTTTACACTTTGAAGTGTTAAAGGTAAGTCCGTTATCATCTGCCCAACTTTGAAGTCGAGTCAGATCCTCCTGAAGTGCCTGTATGTCCTCTTGGTTGTGTATCTCTCTCCAAAGTTTCACGTCATCGGCAAAGAGCAGTATGTCTGACGTTACCTGTTGAGGAAGATCATTTATATAAATCAGGAAGAGGAGAGGTCCTAGTACTGAGCCCTGGGGGACCCCACTAGAACATTCCATAGCGCGTGAGAAATTGAAGTTTACCCTGACCTTAAAATGTCGATTTAACAGATATGAACTGAGCCAGTCAATTAAAGGTGGTTTGATTCCCAATTGTTTGAGCTTGTTAATAAGACATGTGTGGTTAACCCTATCAAAAGCTTTAGAGAAATCAAGGTAAATGATGTCCACTTTCCCCTTGCGATCAACGATGCTTGTCCATCTGTCCACCGCGGTCAGCATGTCGTCATACAGGAGTAACCCTTCCTGAAACCATGCTGTTGGGGTGAGAAGAAATTTAAGGACAGCAGATAGTCATGTATATCATCGTATACCAGGGACTCCATGACCTTTGAAGGTATAGAGAGAAGGGCCACCGGTCGGTAACTTGAAGGTTCACTGCGTCGACCTCCTTTGAAGATTGGTGTGATATGAGCCAGCTTCCAAATATCCGGTAGTTTGCCCCGACTTAGCGAGTGTGAGAACATCACGCTGAGCGGTGTTGCCAGGATTAAAGCTGCTTCCCTCAGTATAGCAGAGTGGACCATATCTGGACCAGGAGAAGTGTCTGTTCTTAGGTGTTGTAGTTTACGGTACACCAAGTCAGCGCTCAGTTTCACTACGGAAAGTCCTGTGCAGTTGCAGACAGAGCCGACATCAGTATAGTTGATGTGGGTCGGCTGAAATGTCCGGGAGTATTGCTCAGCCAGAAGGTTAGCGGCGTCACCGTCATTATCTGTCGGGCCGTTAGGACCTAGCAGTTGAGAAACTCCAGTTTTGGCTTGACGAAGAGAGGCTGCATAACGGAATAAGCTTTTCGGATTGGAAATAAATTTATCCATAAGCTTTAACTGGTACTGAAGCCTGTCTTCTCTTATAGCCTTCGTACACATGTTCCTTATATGTTTGTATTGCCTGTACTCGCCGTTGTTGTTGGTTCGTTTGTATTCTGCCCAACAGTGCCTTTTACGGCTTAGCAAACGAAGAGTGCGTTTTTTGATGATTGTAGGTTGCTTGTGCCTTTTGGGGACCGTTTGAGGAACTGACTGCTTAGTAGCACATGAGAGCGTGCGCAGTAAGGAGTCCCAATGAGCATCCACATCAAGTTGAGGGTGAACATCCCAATCCACCTGTTGTAGATAATCCTGTAGAGCTGACGCATTCAACCGTTTGAAGTTCCAGCGCCTGTTGTTGTCGGGATATCTTAGCTCTGTTTTGCTGACGAAACTGAAGACTATAACGGCGTGATCGCTTTTCCCCAGCGGAGCCAGAATTGAGAGGTTGTCGACTAGAAATTCTTCATTTGTAAAAACACAGTCTAAGCGCGACGGTGTCTGACCATTCCTCCAACGAGTGTGCGACTTCACATTTTCGTGTAGTCCCAAATCCTCAATGAGGTTGAAGAACCGAGCTTCGATTGAGTTTTCACCTCCAGTATACGTATGTTCCGCGAAGTTGACTCTAGGAAGATTGAAGTCCCCTAGGATCAGGATATGAGTGAAGCCGAGACGCGTAGAGCGGGATAGTCCCTCCAGCATGCGACTGTCATACTCGATGTCGGCAGTGGGCTTCCTATATATGACTCCGACTAGGCACCTCGAAGTAGTGGACAATCTCATAGAGCACCATATGGATTCCTCAAGATTGTCAAACTCGTGGTTGTGGATTTGATGTACCATCAGGCCAGATCTTATGTATAGGGCTACTCCACCCCCAATTCCTGTTTTTCTGTCATTGCGAAACAGAGACATCCCAGGTATTGCTAGCTCCTGGTCCGAATACTGAGGAGATATCCAAGTTTCAGATATTCCTATCAGATGAACTTTATTAGCGTTGCTAAGTTCACTTAGTTCATCCATTTTATTTGGTAGACTCGCGGCGTTCATGTATAAGCAGTTAATGCTTTAAATTTGAAACGCGTGAGCTTCTTCCTGTTTATCTGTGAGAGCCTTGCGTGAGTGGACAGGTAACCCACCTATATAAGTTTTGTCAAATTGGTAGGCCCTGTCCTTTACACGTTTTTTTTGTCTTGAAGATAGTCCACAAGTGGAATGGTCAGTTCCAGCTTGCCTTTGTGCTTGATCCTGGCGTCGTATGGCCTATCCGGGTGCATATGGATCCCAGTTGGCAACCGACGTCTGTTGACACGAAATGCTTCCAGAGTTGCAGCCGCCATATGGGAGGATGGAAAAGTTATCCTCATTAGTCGGGGTCTAGAATCCCCATCCTTCTTGGCTAGTCTCATCACATGCTGAGACAGTATGTTTTTAAGCCTCAAGGACTGTTTGATGAATTTCCATTCCCGAATGTCAGAGTTTGCTTGAGTAGGGTCCATGTTTTCCGGTACACCTTGCACGATGATATTTCTTCCGCGGAAAAACTTCTCTCGAGAATCTTTAGGGAAGGAAACCTGGCGTAGAGTAAAAGGACAAAAGCTTACTTGGTTTTTACTTGTACACTGGCACTTAAGGTTTTTACTGTTAACTTATTATGGTATATTATTATTAACTTAGTGTATAGATATATCTTGTATAATCTCTATTTGCTGGGGTCCACTACAAACTCTCCATACGTTAGTGCAAGGCTTAATCTTATCGTATATCATGTCACTAGCTTTAAACGTAAATGACATAACAGCATGATCGCTATTCACTAACGATGGAAGAATATTCAGGTTGTCAATATCCTCAGTCTCATGGGCAGTTACCAAGTACAACGCAGAGGAATCTTGGTTTGCACCAAAACATGTGGGTTTGGATACATGATGTATTGATGCATGCGCTATTATTGTTACCAAGAACCTAATAACAAAGAAGTTTATAGATTCTACCGTGGTTATCACAGTCCAAATAACATTAGGTGTATTGAAGTCTCCTATTGCCTAGCATCTGTTATTTGTACTAAGTTTCAAGGAAACGGTAACTAGGAGTGCATCCTAACATGAGTGTTGTGGTGAAATTATGATGATGCAACCATGATGATTCATATCACAACACAATATGTGGATCGCGTTACTTAAATTAAGAAACTATACGAATTTATGAGTCATCATAAGAAGTGACCGCGAAACTACGCGTAACTGTAAAGCTGCTGAAAAAAGACTATAAGGTGTTGTGGTCTTTCCAGTACTTCAATGATGAAGTCTTTAGATTGTTATACCCGACTTTCATGAGACCGCACTTGGACTATGAAATTCAAGCAGCGATTCCTTGTATCAAGTATGAAGCAGATATGCTGGAACGAATCCAACGACTAGGGACTAAGATGGTATAACGTCCATCTGGCCTAGAATACGGGGTGATCTTATATTGCCTTGTCGTATTAATATGTCTTATCTTTTACTTTCGTTTGTAACTGGTCATTTGAGAGGAAATCCGAAATCACCATCAGCCTCTGTTGATATATTCAAAACGAGATTGGTTCTCTGCAGTGTTACAAACTGCAGGGGTTAGTGTAGATCGACAGACCTCATGTGTTTTTTATCGAAGTCTGCGGTGATCTCTTGATAATAGATAAAGAAATATTGGGTAAAGGCTTTTTCTATTTCTTTTAGAACAATCTGAATCATTTTAATCACACTTGTCATCAGCTAGAAAAGCACGTCATCAATCCGGACACAGATCACAACGAATAAACAATGATTTAGCAGGCATCGTTACCCAAGACTTAAAGACTCCTGCACACTGCCGTGCAATAGTCGCCAAAAGTTTAAGAACTTTATGATAAGTATGTGAGGCTTTTACTCTTTTCGACGCCAAAACGTTTTTGTCTTTGTATACAGTGTTCGTACGTCCTAAACATGAGTACTGCATACAGGCGGCTAGCCCCTGCCTAAAGAAGACAGTGTACTTTTGAAAAAGATGCAGAGAACAGCAGCCAAGCTGATTCCCGGATTAGCGAAGCTCTCGTATTGTGCTCGACTGGACTAGCTAAACCTATTCCCTTTTTCATATCGAAGAATTAGAGGCGACTTCATTGCACTTTTAAAATTGCTTAGTGTTAAACTTGCATCTGATAATGTCCTCATTTTTCTTGTCTTCCAAAACAGAGAATTTACGAGGACACTCCAAAAACGTTCACAAACCCAGAACAAATTACTTGTTAACTGACTCTAGACTTTCCAATGGAATTAAATACCTCAGCACGTGGTTGAGGCTCTATTCATCGACTCTTTCAAAAGAAAGTTGGATCAGCTGAGAGTCAAGCATTGCCAGGACTAACACAGGTTACTAAGCCTCCTGTTTTCTACAAACTGGAAACTCATACTGGATACAACCTGCTTACCGAAGCAGTGCTGTCCGCACCTTCAAGTAAACCATTCAAGAAAACACTGGCTACTTTTAGAAGCATACTATATTAAGAAAGAACATGGGATTTTGGCCTTCTGTTCTTACTAAACAAATCTGAATTTGAAATCTGAATCAGTTGATGGAGAATAGGTTCCTGCCTGGATGTTCCGGGGATCGACTGCTACTAGACACGAAAGTCCGCTGAGCGAAAGCGTTTACTATTCCGTACACAACTATTTGAACCATTTTGACTGAAAGGCGCTTACAATAAACTCAAGGTCAATGCAGCGCTTAGATGATTCTGAACTATCAAAACCTCCATCGGAAGTTTTAGAAATCATTTGCAAATTAGGAAAAGGTTCTTATGGTAGCGTTTACAAAGCCAGATATAAAGCAAATGGTGGGATAGTTGCTGTAAAGAAGGTGTGTAACCAACTTAATAAATAATATATATCTATTAACTTGCATACTTATATCTAGATCCGAATGCTTTTTCGATTTTCACTTAACGAATCTTCTCATCACTAAATTTGTTACGATAAATGATATCGTTTTAAACGCTTTGATTGTGTTCATGTTATAATTCATACAGTTCACATTTATTCGGGACAAATTATTGATACCTATCAATAAAGCAAGCACTTAGTAATCTTTGACAAACACATCCAATGATAATGACTTGATTAGAATAAGGTTCTACACTAAAGTTGCCTTAATGGAGGAAATCTTCAGAATACTTCGGATATTACCTTAAAGAGCACTAATTAGCTAGTATTGGGTCCCTATGAAGCTTCTAATTGACCTATAATGATTCTTTTCAACACCTTTAAACCTAATCTTGCGAAGCTTATCCGTCTGTGGCTTGACGGCTGTAGCCTGGATTTTGTGTTTTTGTTTCCTTTGGGGGGGGGGGCGTTAAGGGTAAGTCATTAGTTGTAAAGTAAATTTACTTAGCAGTGTTTTTGAAATCGATATCAGGGGATCAAACACATGAATTCCAAGTTGTCGGCTGAAGTGAAAAACTGAACGTGATAAATTATATCGGAAAAAGGGATCGAATTAAAGTATAAGTTAGACAAATTTTTCTCCCGAATGCCCTGGTACGGCTAAGTGTGTGAAGTCATCTATCTCTATGAATGCCCTCGCATAGCCACGCGTATACAGTGATTGTCAGGGAAGTCCTGCTCACTGCCTTCTCGCGGCACCACTGTTGTTTACGAAATTGAGAGGACGAAAAGCGAATGTAAAATTTTTCCTATGTCACCAACGAGTTGAGTTCAGTGAATGTTGAATTTTTCCAACATTCATTTATAGTATATTCAGCTTGATAGTTTATTATTTCCATCTCAATCTCATTTAGCTCCCAAATGCCCTGGTACGACCGATGGTGGGAAGAATTAGCTCTCCCTTTCGAAGTGCACTCACATAGTCACGTGCATACAAATACTGTTGAGGAAGTTATACTCACTGCATTCTCGTGGCATTACTGTTGTTTACGGAATTGTGAGGATGAAAAGCGAATGTCCTGCATTTTAACCGGACTGGCGGATATGGAGGATCCTCCTAGGGGAATTGGAAAACCCTGATTCCAAACCAATTGTGCAAATGGGATCCAGGATCCTAATGGATAAAATGGCGTATGAACCAATTATTGGTCACCGGCTACCATGTGAATGCATCTCCTTACGTTGCTCTGCTTCCTTGTGGATCACTCACTTAGGTCAAATGCTTCGGGTGTGGCCGCTTAAGAAATCCACCTCTTTCGGTCTTGGCACATGGACAGTATCACAGCCCACACACAAATCAAGTGGTTTGTGTGGTGCATATGTATTGGGTGCCCTTTTGTACTAATATTTATGTTCAAATAATTAAATAATGGATGAAGTCGTATTAATGTTTGAGGATAAACAATGAATACAAACTGCTTTGCAACAATAGATTTTACGTTTTATCTCCCAATGTCTGTAACCAATTGTTACGATGTACTGGTGTGCTACAAAATACGTGTTACATTTCACCATTATTCGATATTTCAGGTTGCCTCGAACAGTTTACACTGGTTCTAAGCTGATTAGCACTGATTGTCTCGTAGGCTATGGAACAGCGCTTATAACATGTCTCATTCACTACAGTCAACGGAATTTCACCTCGCTATTAGCATATAATTTCTATCCATAACTGTACACACGATTTTATTATCACTCACTCGTTTGTTCCACTTTGCCGAATCAGTGCTTTAAATGCTTATGGGTTAGATCAGTCAGTCAGTAACAACGTGGAACTTCGTACGTACGTACATCAGTTCGAGTTGCCATACCACATTAGCACAGAGATTCAGTTATCGATTCAAACCCCGTAGTGGTAGAGGTAGTGAAATATAAGTAGTGATAGGGAACATTAAGGTTTGATAATGTTATTAAAGGAGTATAGTCCAGTGGAATAAATTGGGAAAGAAAATAAAGGACATGAAGAATTCAGAAGATTAGAATTTGGGAGAACACAAAGAGTGGATGCACCTGCGCCATTGCAAACGATTTTTGGCCATGTCATTCAAGGTCTCTAACCATCGGTTGCTATCGTCTCGCGGTCCCCAACCAGGTAGTCTATACCTACCAACATGACTCAGTCCACTTGTCAGTGACTTCATGGATTTGTGCCATGTTTTGGTCTGACCGCCCCTAGCTTTCTTCCAACCTACTCCTACACCATAAAACATAGCACGTCGTGGCAGTCGGTGGTCGGGCATGCGCAACACATGTCCCAGCCATCTCAACTGATTAAGTTTCACTACTTCGTCGATTGATTTGCCATCCTTACTTAGTACCCGTTTCCTAACAACTGAGTTACTTACTCGGTGGTCCCAGGATATACGAGCGATGTTTCGAAGACACCTATGGTCAAATACTAGTAGCCTACGAATATCCTCTACTCTTACTGGCCATGTTTCACTTCCATAAAGTAGGACGGAACGAACTGCTGCGCAGTAAACACGTCCTTTGGTTGATAGACAGATATCTCGCCTACGCCACAAATGACGCAAGTCGGCAAAAGCTACTCGAGCCTTTTGTATCCGTGCTGAGATTTCGTCACACACCAAGCCACAAGGGCTGATGAGACTTCCGAGATAAGTGAAGCGGTCGACACGCTCAACTACTTCACTCCCTATCACTAGTTCGGGTGTCGACGCAACCCAATCCTGAAGCAACATTTTGCATTTCGAGGGAGAAAATCGCATGCCGAACATGTCTGCATTGTTGCTTAGAGTGGTCAGCAGACTCTGCATTCTGTCAGCGTCTTCACCGAATAGAACCATGTCATCGGCATATTCTAAGTCAACAAGTGGATCTCCCGGTAGAAGTTCAACTCCTGGAAATTTAGATGAGGAAAGTGTCATCTCTAAAAGGACGTCAACGACAAAGTTAAACAAGAATGGAGAGAGTGGACAGCCCTGACGAACACCACTTGAGGTAATCAATTCTGATGACAGTTCACCATAAGCTCTCACTCGACCAGTTGTGTTCGAGTAGAGAGCCTTTATAAGGTTGATGTACTTCTTTGGTACTCCTTTCAGTGACAAACACTGCCATAGAACCTCACGATCAACTGAGTCAAATGCCGCCTTAAGGTCGAGAAATACTATCATTGTGGGGCGTCTGAATGTGTGTCTATGTTCTAGGACCTGACGTAGTGTGAATATTTGATCAATACAACCACGTCCAGGTCGAAAACCAGCCTGGTTTTCTCTAGTCTGCTCTTCACGAGCTTTGGTTAGAGGTCGAAGTATTATTGAAGCTAATATTTTCGACACTATATTAGTCAAACTAATTCCTCTGTGATTGTCACAGGAGGACTTTTGTCCTTTCTTATAGACTGGCACAATCAGTGATTGAGACCAGTCAGATGGGATTACGTCCAGTTCCCAGATTCTACCTAAGACCTCAGTCAATCTCGGTGGTAATACTGGACCGCCATCCTTAGAAATCTCAGGGGTAAACCTGTCAGGGCCTGTTGCTCTCCCAGGCCTCAGGTTTTTTGTATCTTTTTCAACTTCGTAAAGAGTCGGAGGACTTACATCAACTTGCCATTCAGGTCGACTGGAGATCGTGGGAAACCGAAGAGTGGCTGAAGGCCAGTTGAACTGATCCCTAAAGTGTTCTGCCCATCGATCCAATCTCCTGGGTTGAGTATGAATAATATGTCCATCTTTCTCTGCTATTGTTTCGCTAACAGTTGGGTTCCTAATACCGGTTTCCATAACAAGTCTGAACAGTTGCCTGCTGTTACCTATTGCCGCTGCCTTTTCCATCTCTCTTGCTTTCGCTACCCACCACTGTTCACGATCTTTGCGTAGGCTTCTAGTCAGCTTACGCTTAAGCTGACTCCGCTCTTCGTTATCTTCAGAGCCAGATGGAATGAGTTTTCGAGCATCTATCAGTGCTGTAGATGCTGCTGAGATCCAATGTTTCTCCCTAACCTTATGGTATACCGTACTTGCAGACATCACTGCTGTTTCTACAGCTTTTCGGATGTCATTCCACGCTGTCTAACTGTTTTTCTGGATGTTCCTGAAATATACTCTTAGCTTGACTATCATTAAGTAGGACCCTAAGGGGTTTCCTTGCAGCATTTTTCCTACGTCCAGTAAGACGTAGACAAATACGCGCTCGCACTAGAGCATGATCTGAGTCTAAGCATGTGCTCCAGAATGAGCGACAGTCTTCTATCGAGCCCCTCCATCCGTGGCTGATAGCGATGTGATCTATTTGGGTCCAGCGTTGGGACGAATTAGTGGGTCTCCCTGTTAAAAGATGTTTTTCCTTATGCCTAAAGTTAGTGTTTGCAAAAAACAGGCGGTTATCTGAGCATAGCTGCAACAGACGGTCACCGTTATCTGTTCTTTGAGCCGCAACACCATAAGATCCACCCAGGTGTCTCTCCCTTTCGCATAGTTTACCTACTTGAGCATTAAAGTCACCAACCACTATTATTACATCTGAACGCCGCCTAGCTTTTCGGAGAAGGTCGGAAAGCTTTCTGTAAAACTCATCTTTTACATTATCTGAGCTGCAGTCAGTGGGAGAGTAGGCAGAGATAATGGTGTTTGGTTTTTTTAAATAGATATCGCTTTCCGAAGTGAATGATTTCTGTTGGGGCAGGACGATCGTATGAGCGGAGTCTGTTCTTAGTACGCACTACACTTCTATCGCTAGAACTATCGTCCTTGTGGGACAATAACACAGTCTTAGCTTGACAACCAATATTTTCAATCAAATTCAGATTCCATCTTTCTTTCCAATTGGGTAGTAACTGAAATGTCCCATTAAGACAGCTGATGTCATTCCCATAAGTAAGCGTTCCAGGATAAACCTGGAATTTCACAAACGTACGTTCTGTCAAGGATCTCAACCACCTCACAGTATGACCTTTCATTGTTATCCACTAAGTAATAAGCTGTCCCATTTGCTCCTTTTGAATCGTGTTTCGTGCTTATACTTCCGTTCTTTTCGATATTTTACCTCTTCTGTGCTTCTCATTTTGTCAAATTTTGCTCGTTATGTCTATGTAATGTTGGAACTTCAGTCAATATACACCCACGTTAGGCTGTACTCTGATAACTTGCTAGGTGACCGAAATATAAAAAAATCCTAATAAGTCTAACTTGTTTGAGATTGTCACTGTATAACACAATGTTAAGAAAGAAATCATTATAATATTGAAGTTGAAAACATACTGCTTTAACAAAAAAGTTCAGTGTCTTCCATTCAATACTCTACTCTCTCATATTTATTATTTCACAGGTGCCTGTTGACAGTGACTTAGCCGATATAGTAAAAGAAATATCAATTATGCAGCAGTGTGATAGTCCATTCATTGTAAAATGCTATGGTAGTTTATTCGATAGTCAAGATTTATGGATATGTATGGAATATTGTGGTGCTGGTTCAATAGCTGATATTATGCGTCTAAGAGGTAAAGCCATTGGTGAAGAAGAAATTGCTACTGTATTACATTACAGTCTATGCGGTCTAGATTATTTACATCAGGTAAGTCGTTAATACGTCAAAGTAATTTTATTTATGAGAATTTGTAATTGATTTTAAAGAGAGATCGATTGCAAATTATTTAACTACTAACATCAATCACCAGGATAATCATCCCCCTTTATATTTAAGCCTCGTTTATTCAGTGGTTCTATTAACAAAGGACGTTCAAAAATATACAAATGTACTTTAATGGTTAGGGTATATGAAGTAATGTACGCATCATATACAGGCTCGTGTAGACAGTTACTTTTGTTATTAGAGGTCAAGTACTAAAACTACTGATCTACAAAACAATGTTTTACTCTCTAGAAAAATTTTCAAATGTTGTGAATTATTTCATAAATTTGGTTGCCCGTATCAGTGTCCGCTCTGGTAGATTAATCTATTTGTTTTATATTTTTGTCTATAGATGCGAAAAATTCATCGAGATATCAAAGCGGGTAATATACTACTACTCAATTCGGGTGCTGCTAAATTAGCCGATTTTGGTGTGGCAGGTCAATTGTCTGATACTCTGGCCAAACGAAATACCGTCATCGGAACACCTTATTGGATGGCTCCTGAAGTTAGTTCTGTCATATATATATATATATATATATATATATATATATATATATATATATATATTGACAATGTCTAGCGCAGTAGTCAGATACGGGTTTACATACTCATTTTTGGACCGAATTTCGTAAAGTTTGTAGAGATGCTCATTCGACTATACAGTTGGAAAATATCAATGCTATAATAGACAAAATGTGTGAGCGCGATTAATGAACGCTACAGTTTTACTTAAGGAATACACCTTCAATATTTTCATCTCGGTTCCCGGCTGTTAAAAAAACAAACTGGCTTTCGGAGAACAATATGTATGATTAAAATTAGTAGTTTTTGTACGAACTCCCTTAGGTTATTAATAGTCATGTTTGAATAATTTTTAAGCAGAACGAATTTTTTTCTGGAACTGAGTGAAATACTTGGGTAAATTATTCAGAATATCCTATCGAAATAATTAGTGGCATGAAATTTTAAAATATGACAGGATGCTACTTAAGCAATAATAACATTGCAAAAATGATCATGGTCTTATTGCTTCTTATCATCTTCCCCTGAAAAAATATAGGGTGTATGTTTACTTTCAAGTGTTTGAGAATTTCTCACTGAAATTTCTTGGACCTGAATTATCAGGGTTTAAGTTACATGTTTCACTGGGCGTATTTCACCATCAGTTTATTTCCGGAATAAGAGCGACCTCCATTCTGGTGTGATTTGTTGGTGGTTCTTGGAATTGTATGTTCTGGTTTGGAATGGTTCGAGAAGTATATCCGGCAGTAATTCCATTTTACTTACGTTGTCATCAGTGTGTTGTACATTTAGTTGGTTCTTGTGTCTGATCCATATGATCCTTCCTGTTTGCATCATACGTGTTACTGACCTCCTCTCTTGACGATTATACCCGGTACCCGCCAAAAGTGTTATTAAGACAGTGTCTTGTGTATATGCATTAGTCATTGGTGTAAATTTAGTAATTGAAGTGATGAACAGCTGTTGTTTTGTTGGGAGTAATTTCCGAACCATTAAACATTCTGCTAGTGGAAGTCATCTTTTTATCTCTGTGTTCAACGTGTCTCTATAAGTGAGGAGGAACTTCTGGAAAATCTAGCCGGTTGTTCCTGATGTCAAAAACACAGTCTACTTAGGGGAGTTGGAAAATCCAGTCCAACAAGTTACATGGGCTCCATTATTCTAAAGAGACAGATGGCGTGGGAACTTATTTTGATAGCCGGATACCATGGATTAAATCCTCAGACTGAAGGTTCAGGGAGTGGTCTTTTAAGAAAGTCACCTTCGATTTGGGAATCCGAGTTGTTTTTCAACCTTCCCTCTACATATATACATGCATTGACTTTATTTGCAACACATTGATTCTGGTACATTAGGACACGAAATAACTCACGCCACACAAATGAAGTGAAGAACTTCAGAAGAGAAGGGAAGCAAAATAAGTGAATAAACGGACAAGAATAATAGATACAGTTTGGTTTAAAAGATGTCATGCAGTTAAAGGAATTAGACTCACTTTTATGAAGAATGTAATAGGACACTACAGTAAGATTACCATACCTATAGACACTAATTGCTAACTGATTAATTAAGAGATTAGTTCAGCGAAGCGTTCTCTTTTCTGATTCATTGCTGTTTAAATAGTCTGTGCATCGTCAGAAGGTAAAACAATCATATCTGCCCACTCAAGGCCAGAGAGTCTTCTTGCAGGTAACAAATCCACACCTTCATCACCAATTCCTTCAGAGGTGTTCCCAGAATTTCATCTATGATAAGTTAAAGAGGAAGGAGATCTTTGCAAAGAGATGTCTCACCATATTGTTGGATTTGAACTATGTAGAGACGTAATTGTATAACATCGTTCTGTCTGAGGCTGTTTTTATGCAGACCGTTAAAGATGTTAGCACACATATATTGATCATTTTATCATTCCCTAATTTTTTCAAGGTTATTCAAGAGATTGGTTATAATTGTTCTGCAGACATTTGGTCACTAGGTATAACTGCTATTGAAATGGCCGATGGTAAACCTCCATTAGCTGATATTCATCCTATGCGTGCACTGTTTATGATCCCGAGTCAGCCTGCTCCAGCTTTACGTAAACCTAGCAATTGGTCATTGGAATTTCGTGCATTTATTGCAGCATGTTTGGCGAAATCACCTGAAGCGCGTCCTACGGCAGCAGCTTTACTACAAACTGAATTTATCCGCAATGCAAAACCTTGTTCAATATTATTGTAAGTTTTTTTTCATGCCTTATTATTATCTCAGTTAAATTTATATATGACGGGAGTTGAGATTCTTAATGGTTCTAATATTGAAATTTCTTTAGATTGATTGTTAACCCGTTACTGGAAGATGCTTATTAACAATAATCAACTTGGTGAGTACAAACACGATTACAACAAAGTGCTTACCTGAGTACAGCAGTCTTTTCCAATGTCATTCTGTGTAGCATGTTAAATTTTTGCGGACCACTTGTTTAAAACTAGTTTTCAAAGTCTATCTTTTTCCCATCAACCTAGTCTATGCAGCAGATACCTGATTCTACTACATCAAGTTTCCGTATTTTAAGTAAACAAGAATAATCTGTAGTTCATACCGTCAGCGTGAATATAAATTTGTATGTACAAGCTCACCTGCTCTTGTGGAACAGGTTATATCGGTCACGGTCTCTCTCGAAATGCATCAGTCAGTCAGTCAGCTGCAACGTAGGACCAGGCATGTATATGCATCGGTCCAAGTTGCCATACCGCATTAGCACAACAAGATGAACACCGGATTCATAGAAGTAGTTAATTCAGTGGTGGTAATATATAGAAGAAAGAGTGTGTATAAGGGGATAGTACAGGAAGATAGAATTAGTTCGTAGAAAGAAAGATTTGAAGTGATTTTAATCTCTTAGTTTAAAGGAAGATAGAGTGAATACACCGACGCCATTGTGATCGATTCTGAGCCATGTCACCAAGAGTCTCCAACCATTGGTTACGATAGTCACGCGGACCCCAACCAGGTAGTCTGCATCTACCAACATGGCTCAGACCAGAAGTTAGTGACTTCAAGCACTGATGCCACGTTTTGGTTTGGCCGCCCCTAACTTTCTTCCAGTCATCCCTAACACCGGTTACCATTGCGCGTCGCGGTAATCGGTGTTCAGACATACGCAGCACGTGGCCCAACCATCTCAGTCGATGAAGGTTCATAACCTCATCAACTGATTTACCATCATTCCCTAATACCCTGCGTCTAACCTCACTATTACTTACCCGGTGATCCCAGCAGATACCCGCAATATTTCTAAGGCATCTGTGGTCAAATACTATTAACTTACGAATATCTTCTACACTTAAAGGCCAAGTTTCGCAGCCGTATAGTAGAACGGAACGAACTGCCGCGCAGTATACTCGTCCCTTAATTGATAGACGGATATCTCGCCTACGCCATAGATGACGTAAGTTGGCAAAGGCCAAACGAGCTTTTCGAATCCGTGCTGAGACTTCGTCAGACACCAACCCATTAGGGCTGATCAGACTTCCAAGATAAGTGAAGTTGTCGACGCGTTCGACTACTTCACCCCCTATCCTTAGTTCAGGTGTTGACGCAGACCAGTCCTGAAGCAACAACTTGCATTTGGAGGGACAGAAGCGCATCCCAAACATTCTAGCATTGTTGCTCAGTGCTACCAAAAGACTCTGCATTTCATCAGCGTCTTCATCAAACAGGACTATGTCATCTGCGTATTCTATGTCAATAAGTGTACCTCCTGTTAGGAGATCGTTTCACGAAAATTCAATCTACGAGAACGTTATTTCCATCAGTAGATCTATGATGAAGTTAAACAAAAATGGAGAAAGTGGACAGTCTTGACGGACGCCACTTGAGGTCGCAAAAGCAGAAGACAGTTCGCCATAAGCTCTGACTCGACTAGTAGTGTTCGAGTAAAGAGCTTTCACAAGGTTTATGTACTTCTGAGGTACGCCTTTCAAAGACAGACACTGCCACAGAACCTCTCGGTCAACAGAGTCAAACGCTGCTTTTAAGTCAAGAATGACTACCATTGTCGGACACCGATAAACATGCCTGTGTTCTAGAACCTGACGAATGGTGAATATGTGGTCGATGCAGCCACGACCAGGTCTGAAGCCAGCCTGATTTTCACGTGTTTGCAGTTCACGAGTCTTAGTTAGGCGTCCGAAAATTATCGAGGCTAGTATTTTAGATACTATATTAGTTAAACTAATCCCTCTATGGTTGTCACAGGATGATTTTGACCCTTTCTTAAATATTGGGACGATAAGTGATTGTGACCAGTTAGATGGGATAACGTCTAACTCCCAGATTTTAGCTAAAATATTAGTCAACCTAATCGCTAAAACTAGACCACCATCCTTAAAGACCTCTGGGGCCAATCCATCTGGACCAGCTGCCCTTCCTCGTTTCAGATTAACTATGGCCTTTTGAACTTCAGCTAGAGTTGGGGGACCTACTTCAATGTTCCATTCATACTGTCTGGGAATAGAGGGTAGTTGTATAGTAGCTGAGGGCCAGCTGAACTGCTCCTTAAAATGTTCCGCCCATCGTTCTAAACGTCTGGACTGGGAGCAGATGAGAGTGTCGTCTTTTTCCGAAATAGTCTGACTTACACTTGATTTATTAATTCCAGTTTCTTTTATTAGTCTGTAGAGTTGTCTTGTGTTCCCTATAGCCGCCGCCTTTTCCATCTCTTTTGCTTTCGTTGCCCACCACTGCTCACGATCGTTCCTTAGACTTTTGCTTAACCTAGATCTGATTTCTTTACACTCTTCATCGTGTTCAGAACCTGATGGGATGAGTTTGCGAGAATCTATCAGTGCAATAGACCTTGACGAAATCCATTGGTTCTTTGTAACCCTGTGGTTTAACTCACTGGTAGATGTCAATGCTGTTTCCACAGCTGCTTGTATAACTTTCCAATCAACATCGGGGTCAGCCTCGTTTTCAGAACTACCTAAGTGTGACCTCAGTTGTTCTTGGAACCTACTTTTGGTTTTCTCATTACTCGATTCGGTTCTAATGAGTCTTTTTTGTGTGGCTCTTTTGCGTCCAGTGAGGCGCAAGCAGATGCGTGCTCGTATTAGGGCATGGTCGGAGTCCAAACAGGTACATCAGAATGAGCGACAATCTTCTATCGATCCTCACTAACGATGACTGATGGCAATATGGTCTATTTGAGTCCATCGTTGGTTTGGTGCAGGGGGTCGCCATGTCAGACGATGTCTCTCCTTATGCTTAAAATTTGTGTTTGCTAAAAATAAACGATTGTCTGAGCACAGTTGCAGCAGACGATCACCATTATCTGTTCGCTGTGCCAGAATACTAAAATACCCACCTAAATGTCTTTCTGTTTCGTTTAAGCTACCTACCTAGGCATTAAAGTCACCTTCTACGAGTACTATGTCTGAACGTTTAGCTTTCTGAAGAAGTTCAGACAGCTTTCTGTAAAATTCATCTTTCACTTCATCCGAACTGCAGTCAGTGGGAGCGTAGGCAGAAACGACGAAAAGGCAACGACGTGTGTCCCTATCCTTTCGAGTTATTACCGAGCCGTTTAGCCGAACAACGCATAGACGACTATTAACGGGGATCCACTCTAATAGCGCTTGTTCCGCCCTCATGCTTAGTGCTATGCCTACACCTGCAAGTCTACGAGAACTAGCCATCGGGTCGCCAGATACACGGAGGGTGTATCTCGTCGGCACTCCGTTTTGCCGAGGTGAGGTCAAGTGAATGACCGCACTAGGATCCTGTATGCGTATTTCGGAGACACAGCATACATCAATCGTACGAGATTCTAAGGTTTTAGCCAAGGAAGCCTGCTGACCGATTTGGCATAGTGTGCGTACGTTGAAGGCTCCAATGTGTAGTTTGGAGCGAGGTTTCAGTAGACCTGGGACAGCGTTTTGCGCACTAGAATCGTTGGCTATGGTGACGGCGGTTATCACTTCCCGGTTGCCCACACCGTGGAAGGGTTCTGCTTGAGGTACCTCAAAAGTAAATTTGATTAGAGGTAGTCATAGTGACCTGAGAGCGTGACCGCAGTGCCCAAGGGACAGCTGCTTGAGGTCGGTCACACACGACCTCTTTATGAGTAATTTTTGTGTTAGCTCCGTACTTTTTGAGACCTTACCGCCGGAGACGGATATCCGTGGGATAAGGCGAGGTGTGCATTTTTAGTGTCGACCTTTTCTAACCCCACCCCTCCTTGTGGGAAGGCAGCGTCGCTGTTATCCTGGTTGTCTGAAGGAAACACCTTACTGCTGTCACACCTCTGTACAGTCAGCAGTACGACTTCGCTATCGGACCTTGGTTGTGTTGCTTTTAGTCTTACCGCCCTTCAACCGACCTGTCTGGCATGGTAGGACCTTGAGAAACGGTTGTTCCAACCAGTATAGTTCAGTTGCTTCATCACGATAGGCAAGCCCGACCACCACGTCAGGGTAGCAACAACGGGCGTTACTCCATTTGGTTATCATAAGGATAACTAAAGTTAGTCAGTAGATGAAATCTTGAACATTTCGTAAACGCTGGTTACATTCACCTATCTGTCCGAGTTATTCATGAAGTCAAACAGCCTAATCGAATGATGCCGAAAAGAACATTTTATTTCTTGAATTATTTTTATCTCTTCTTCAATGACTCGATAGGTTTCTTCCTTTACTTCAATGCTAATTCGTTGCATATATTTATCATGATTATGAATCTACGTACACAGTGGTCTTGTGATGCTACAAAATTTTCTTTTAACTTGAGAGTGGCAGTACATTTTTACTTTGATCAGTGAATTTTTGAACTTTTATCAATGTAGTCTCAGTTCTTACCTGGAATACTACATTTTAACTCAGCTTCATCCAATCAACTTAAAACCACAAGCCAACCTAAGTTAGATAACCATTGAAAATTTAGAAGCATGAGACTCCACAGAAGTATTCAGTCACGACCCCGAAACCAGAAATCGAACTCAGTACCTGGGTTTTCAATGATTGTTTGTGGTTTCAATGGAATTTAACAATCTCCGCAACATCATACTGACAATACTTACTTGATTAGCCACTTTCAACGGTCATGCAGAGCGATCTGCTGCACAATATCCCTGCTGTTTAGTCAATAGAGGAATATCTCGCCTGTGTTATAGATGGCACGGTTTATCAGGAGGCGATAGGTGATTTTTCGTGGTTGCACCGGAATTTCGTCAGTTACTGGCTCACCGAGAGTAATAATGCTTTCAAGTTGAGTGACGTTGTCAACGAGATGAATCACTACCTTCCCTTTAGTCAAAACAGATGTGAACACAGATCGGTTCATTTTTGAGAAAAAGAAAAGCATTTCAAATAATCTTCCATCGTGGGTAAAGTGTAGTCTACCTTAGTTTGGTCACCTATAGATAGTGTATAGTATATACTGTAAATCAAATATTTTAACTTAATGTGTAGTACCTTACGAGTTTATTGAGTTGCATTAGATTTATCTTTAGTATTATACTACCTATCCACTTATTCAATAAATGTGTGGACAGAATTGTTATTAAGCTTAAGAAAAACGGTTAGATCTAGAACTTGAATTGTTGCTATTTCGCGTACAACTCGAGTACTGGAACGCTAGAACCCTCCAACTCTCAAGATAGAAGACAGAACATGAGTTACAAGGAATCTTATTCCAATCGGTGTCAAATATGGTACAGAACACTCAGGTATTTATAGTTTGTAGTAAAAACGAAATTATCATTACGGTTATTAAATCCGCATGCAGTGGTTTTTGGCATTTGTCCGATAGGGAAGCTACACATCGAGATTCTGGAATGTATTCTACTCTTTCTGAGCTTCTTAGAGCTTCCTTGAGTTCACCGATCGCCGTTCCTACAAATGCTCAGAAAATCCAAGAATTATTAAAGGCTGTCTATCAATATAGTTCATTTGAATTGATCTCTTTAAAAGAGGATTCAACGCTTTAGTGAAGATCAATCAGAACATCGACCCTCTACTTGTTGAAAAAAGTATTGAAATTTTCTCGGGGTTCCTGATCGATTGTTCAGATGATGACTAATCAGCTGAATTCGGCGAAATTGTTCGTGTCCATAATTCTTGCAAAATATTTGAGGTTGAAAAAAATAGCTTGCTAAGCGTGTAATCAGGCATCTAAAATGCCTGACTTATGAGGACTTTCATGAATGCTTTTAACAAAGGAAATGAAGATATACCAGGTGCATAGCCGTAAATATTAGTTACTTTAAAACGGATAAGATTGCTATCCTTTAAAATTCGTTTTTATAACCTGGATTTATGTGTCTACCAAATCATATACATGTATTTACCCATTTATATGTATATTTCTTTCTTGATTTGCTTTTGTAGACAACTAATTAATGAAGCCAACGAAGCAAGAGAAAGACGTCTTTTACAGCAACAACAACAACAACAAACATCTACGCCTGATACACCGATTTCCGATGTTAAACGACGTCATTCAGTAATGAATAAAACCGATGAAAATCAAGTTAAATCTAAACAAAATCAATTATCTCAAGATGATGTTGATGATAATTTACATACAATGGTTCGTTCTAATTCAACATCTAGTCGAACTGTGAATAATAATATTAATAGTAATAATAATGAATCTGGGTAAGATAATTTTTTAAGACGATTTGCTTTGAGTTTCGTTATCTTCGTGTGTGTGTATTGATAAACAGTTTCTTTTATAATGATATCAGTCAGTAACAACATGGAACTTCGTACGTACGTACATCAGTTCGAGTTGCCATACCACATTAGCACAGAGATTCAGTTATCGATTCAAATCCCATAGTGGTAGAGGTAGTGAAATATAAGTAGTGATAGGGAACATTAAGGTTTGATAATGTTATTAAAGGAGTATAGTCCAGTGGAATGGATTTGGAAAGAAAATAAAGGACATGAAGAATTCAGAAGATTAGAGTTTGAGAGAACACAAAGAGTGGATGCACCTGCGCCATTGAAAACGATTTTGAGCCATGTTATTCAAGGTCTCTAACCATCGGTTGCTATCGTCTCGCGGTCCCCAACCAGGTAGTCTACACCTACCAACATGACTCAGTCCACTTGTCAGTGACTTCATGGATTTGTGCCATGTTTTGGTCTGACCGCCCCTAGCTTTCTTCCAACCTACTCCTACACCATAAAACATCGCACGTCGGGGCAGTCGGTGGTCGGGCATGCGCAACACATGTCCCAGCCATCTCAACTGATTAAGTTTCACTACTTCGTCGATTGATTTGCCATCCTTACTTAGTACCCGTTTCCTAACAACCGCAATACTTACTCAGTGGTCCCAGGATATACAAGCAATGTTTCGAAGACATCTATGTTCGAATACTAGTAACCTACGAATATCCTCTACTCTTACTGGCCATGTTTCACTTCCATAAAGTAGGACGGAACGAACTGCTGCGCAGTAAACACGTCCTTTGGTTGATAGACGGATAATGATATGGTTTTGTGTTAATTGGTTTAATTTGTATGTAGTTTTTGTCACAAATTGACTCTAGTTGAAATACCTTTGAAAGCCGTGGAGCACTGAAAAACTGTTTCGTCTTTGCATGGAATTCAGCACTGTGTACCAAAAATCCCTCTAGGTATCGTGCTCATATCTCACAATGAGCCGTTAGCTATTAGGCCATTGAGTTGGTGTCTTGTGGTGTACGTTTGTAACTTTAGTCTATTCGTGACATAGAGGAACGGCTATCTAATACCATTTGTAGCGACTACCATTTCCCATACGTCTGAATTTTATCGGTCATAATCTTTATTTCGAAATCAATCACTCGGGAAAACGATTGTAGTATTGATAAAGAGACAAAATGTATAGCAGCTCAAGCTGCTACAGTTATGTCCTCATACCCTGCGAATATATCACGTGATATTACCGCCACTTAGATCACCGACTTATTGACCAGGTCAATGACGTATAAACCACTACGAGTAGCCTAGAGTCAACTCTGAGTTCTTGTTGGTCCTCTGAAATAATAGCTTCTCGCGTAAGCCAGCCGGTTCAGTCCAGAACACCAATATCGTAGGATACTGTAACTAATAAATTGGAAATAACTTAAGAACAGTTAATTGTATAATAGTAGTCAATAGGACAAATAGAAGCTTATAATAAAAGGAATATGAATATACATATGACATAGTTACTTAATCGTTATACATTAAGAATACACATAATAGCAGTCCATAAATATATCCCAGCAGTTATCATCCACTTATTCTTCGTCCGGACATAACAGCTACATTAAATAAAATTAACGAGGTGTGTAACAAATGGAATTTAAGTAATGATAGCGTTGTGATTGTGAAAAAAACTAAACACAGGAGAATACTATTCGAAAAGTAAAATAGTGAAGTAAAATAGTATGAAATCGTAATGGACTTCAACATTCAAGTAAGGATAAAGAATGTATACATTTAGACTGTCGGTACGAATTTCGAATAGGGAAACCAGACATTTCCAACTTTCTATATCGTGATTATCTCACTAATTCCAACCACAAGGTGTGTAACTCCCAATTCTTAATTATTGGTTAGTTATTGACTACATGATATCATTGACTTGGTTCTCTCCAAATACCTATAACCAAGTTGATTGAATTGGTTTATGGTCAGATAATATGTGCTTATTTGAGCGTGTTTGTACACTGATAGAATAGTTTTTGAACAAATCATCGTATAACATCACTACAAAGCAACTATGCTGTCAGGCCATTATATCTGCTTTATGTTTTACATGATTGAACTCCAGATGTCACAGATTTTCTCTAGAACTATAAATATTTTGACGGTATGACTGTAACAAAACAATTAATAAATTACTTAATGCTTTACAGAGCAGAGGGCGAGGTCGTGGATGCGCACTGCTGAGGAGTCCCATAATAGGACGAAACGGCCGTCCAGTGCTTACAGGTTTTCCATGGTGGTCTAGCTTCAACTGACTCAAGATCTTAATCATTGAAATTACTACAATCTCCACAAAACCCCTTCTGAAAATAAAATTCTGTTACAACGCTACATAGTAACTGAGAAATACAACTCCTCATAACCTACTGTATTAGTAAGTGAACAAATTTTGATGGAGTTTTGTTCTCTGAGCTGGATGGTTTGGTCGTGGAGCTTTCATCGTTCTTCTGAACGACATCATCAGCACAAACTTCAGATAGAAGTGAAGTGTTCGAATTTCTCCATGTGTTTCACAGCTTGTTCTGTGCACCTCCATGTTGATTGGTTCTTACTGACCTTAAATTTGTCATTGTTTACTTTTTTGTTTTGGTTGTCTCCTATTGGTTTGATTCTTGTTCCTATATTTGTGCATATGTTTCCTGATTGGTTGATAAATTGAATCGATTTCAATGTGCCTGTTGATTGCTGATTGACCTGAGTGCCAGGCTTTTAAAAATTCTCTGGTGTTTTTTGGAATTTCCTCTGTCCAAGATTTCCACATTTTTCCAATCGAATGAATGTCCGCAGTTGTCCACGTGTATTGATATAAGTGAGGAAATATCATGACGTTTGACTGCTAATTGATGTTCATGTAGGATATCATGCCTCCTCACTTATATCAATACACGTAAACAACTGCGGACACTCATTCGATTGGAAAAATGTGGAAATCTTGGACAGAGGAAATTCCAAAAACACCAGAGAATTTTTAAAAGCCTTGCACTTAATGAATTTACTTTCAGTAAAGACATTATTTTATCGTTTTGTTATAACTGTGAGAGAGACGTGCGATTTGAGGAGAAAATTATTGATCGGACCAAAGACGCGTACACACGTAGGAACAGCCTAGAGTTCTGATTGACCCTGCTTCTCTGTCTAGCCCAGCCAATTGAGTCCAGAACGCAAGTCTCAGCCTCTGTGATATGAATCATTATATTTCAAACATACTCTGTTTATATACCAAACAAACAGACTACATCGTACCATAAAATAGAAAGTAACATTTGTACAAGATTTGACCTCCAGGAAATGACACAAATAAATATTGACCAACGGGAAAATGACACGTTGGAAGAATATTGACCAATGGGGAAATGACACGATTTCTCACTCAGGAATAGCAGTAGATAATTTCTGGGGTATTTTCTGAATACTTCAACACGTTTTAATAATCACCATTCCTTTAATCTTACTTTAAAATATCAGTTTGGATATTGATGGTGCGGCAACTTTAGTTTCATTATGCTCAAACGAAGATCGCACAAATCATCATAATGACGGTGATGATGATGATGAAGAGGATGACAATGGCAGTTTTATACGTCATCACGATGATGAAACAAATGTCAATAATCTTGACACAATGGTTGTCAATGATGGCGGGGAAAGTGAAGATGATAGTGGTTCTGTTGTGGTACATGATACAACTGGTGGTTCGTCAGATGGATTAGATGATGCAGAACGCGATCAACGTGAAGCTTTCGAATTGTTAGACGCTGCTCTCCCACCGGCTGTGGCTACTGAAGGTACACTAACTAGGAGAATTGATAAGGCCGTAAAAATGGTAAATAATGTCGGGTAAGTCACTTGTTTTTTATATAATAAGTAAACAATTGAATCATCTCGTTCTTAGTATTCAGGATTGAATGTTGACCAAACTTTTTTGGTATATATTTGTCTTGTGTGGATTGCCTCGATATACTCTTTGAACAAGTTAGTGGATGTCTTTAGCCAGTTGCTCAGTAAACTACGCGTTGGGATCTTGTGAGTAGCGTCCGTCACATCAGTACTAAAAAGTAGACAAATATATTGGTTTATTACTCAATGATCAAGGAGTGGAAAATATTACGCTCTATTAATCTTTAGTGTGGATCGAAATTTACTGACTGATTGGCAACACCTGTTTATTTACAACAAGACTACTGTTTATCATTTATCAGTTTCACTCAAATATACTACTCAATGAAGTTCGAATAAATTCAACAACTGTCTTGATCGCTTATATACTGTCTGGTGATATCTTACGTCCACGATCTTATAAAGAACAAAGTTGATTTAAATTGGTAAATTCTCTTGAAAGTGATCAAAATATCATCAAACAATCAACGTTAAGCATAGACAAGAAAAAAATCACATTCTTTTCGTATGGTTGAATGATGTGTATCCTATCCACTTCCAACGACTTTTCCTAATTTCCTCCTCAGCTGGAAGCTGGTTTGTTCTCTCCCATAGTAGGCTGTTACTAATGGTATTCGGCCAACGGACAGTGAGTATCTGGCGTAGACAACTGTTTATAAATAATTCTGCTGTTTTGATGATGGTTGTGGTAGTTCTCCAAGTTTTACCTCCGTACAATAGAACTGTCTCAAAGTTCGTATTGAAGATCCTGACTTTGACATCCGTTGACAGTCGTTTTGAGTTCTATATATTCTTCAACTGTATGAATACTGTCCTTGCTTTGCCAATCCTCGCCTTTACGTCTGCATCCAGTCCTTCCATCTATTCCATAGCTTCTCCATCAAGTAAGATTGAACTGGTATTCTTTGTGTTCTATTTGAGAATCTCGGTTTTTCTGTTGTATATGTTGAGGCCTACTGCTGCTTCACTATTTGTCTTCATCTGCACTTGTTGGTGTGTATGGGGTAGAAGAGACAGATAAAATCGTCTAGCCACATGCAAACTGTCCATTGTATTCCGTGCTTTCCCTCAGATGTCAAGGTCTTCATGATCCAGTCAACTACCAGAAGAAAGAGGAAGGGGGGAGTAAGCAGCCTTGTCTGACTCCGATGCTCTCTTGGAATACATCTGTCAGCTATCCCCCATGGACGACTTTGCACTGTAGTCTGTCGTATGAGTTACTGATGATGTTGACGATCTTCCCAGCTACTCACACCATAGTGTCGAAGAAGGTTCCATAAGTTTCTCCCAACCACACTGTCAAATGCCTTTTCATAATCAATGAAGTTGATGTATAGTGACGACTTCCATTCAATTGTTTGTTGAACGATGATCCGTAGTGTGGTGATTTGGTCTGTGCACGGCCGATCCTTACGAAATCCAGCCTGTTGATTTCGAAGTTGGGTGTCTACTGAATCTTTCATCCGGTTTAGAAATACCTTGTTCGAAACGTTTCCTGGTACTGATAGTAGTGCGATACCTCTATGGTTCTCACATTTACTCAGATCTCCATTCTTTGATATCTTAATAGGGTATCTTTCTTTCCAGTCCGTCGGCACATGTTCTTCCTCCTAAATCTTCCTAAATTGAAAGCAAAGCATTTTTGCAGTTACTTCAATGTCCGGCTTCAGTGCTTCAGCTGGTATCTTATCAGGTCCTTCTGCTTCTCCGCTCTTGATTTGTCTGAAGGTCATCCTGATTTTTTCGACCGTTGGTGGGTGACATCTATAGATAAGGCTGTGTGCTTCTTCAATGTGTGTTGGATTCAATGAAGCTGGTCTACTCAACAGTTCCTCGAAGTATTCTACCCATCTGTTCCTCTGTTCTTGAATTTCAGTGATGTGTTTACCTTGTTCGTCCTTGACTGGTCTCTGGTTTACTATATTTCCCTACCAGTTTCTGCGTTGTGTCATATATTTGTTTGATATTCCCTTCTGTTGCAGCTTTTTCCGCTGTCGTTGCTAGTTCTTTCATGTATTTCTGCTTGTCATCTCTAATGCTCTTCACTTGCTTGTTTGCTTCTGTGTATTCAGCATTTGCCTTGACCTTCTCTGTTCTTGTTTGGCCGTTGTTAATTGCTCTCTTCTTGTTCTTCCTCTTTTGAATCTTGTCAAGGGTTTCGATAGAGATCAATCTATTGTGATAATACTTCTTGAGGCCGACTACCTCCTGACACTTTGAAGTTAGTGCTTCTCTAATCCCTTTCCAGTTGTCCTCCATATTAGTTCCTTCTTTGAGTATATCTTGTAAGGCTTAGGATCTGTTGTTGATAGCTATCTTCAATTGATTGAGTTTTTCAGCGTCTCGGAGGAAGGCTGTATTAAACTTTTGTAATGTCGTTTTTTTCAGTTGTCCAGTGATTCTTTAGCTTCAGTTTCGTTTTGACAACCACTAGTTGGTGGTGATCTGAAGGTATATCAGCTCCTTTGCTGGTTCTCACGTCTTCCATTGACTTTTTGAATTTTTAACTGATGCATATATGATCGGTCTGGTTCTATGTGGTGTGATCCAGTCAAATCTATGTAGCTTTGTGTATGCATTTGTGTTGGAATGTCATACCGCCTACAACCATTTAGTGGAATGCACACAAATTTTCCTATCTCACAGCTCTCGTTCCCTTCTCTCAGTCAGTCCATGTCGTCCTACTATATCTTCATATTCGATGTTTTCCATTCCGACTTTGTCGTCTAAGTCTCCCATCAGGATGGTCAGGTCATTTTTTGGGCACATCGCTATGATTGATTGCAGCCTCTCGTAAAACTGGTGTTTATTTTCTTCATTGCTGTCATTGATGGGTGTATAACATTGGTTAACATTCATTGTGATTTTGAAAGATGCTTTAATGATCCTGGGTCCATAAGATTCTCATTCGATGAATGCTTTTCGTGTTTCTTTGGACACCATCAAAGCACATCCCTGAGTGTGTGGAGCACTTTCTTCTATGTAACTAGTGTAGAACAGCATCTCTTCCGAATGTATTCTTTTTTCATCCAGCTTGGGTCCAATGGGTTTCCATGATCTCAAGAACCGTCGAGTTGTATCTCCTCGTTCCCGATGCTATTTGTCTGGTCCTTCCGGTCTCCCATATTTTTCGGACGTTTCACGTCGTTAGAAAGGGCGTCGGCCTTATGACTCCCGAAGAATCTCAGCTTTCGTCATGAGGCGTCATATTTCTTCTGAATGAAAACCCTTCAACTTTCAGGACAGATTTTAAGTGGTTTGAATTGTTTATTGTGTTTAGCGTATTTTAGCAAGGTTGTTTTCTGTGGGATATATATATATATATATATATATATATATATATATATATATATATATATATATATATATGCTATCATTAGCAAATTTCGTTGAACTCCTGAAAATGTAGTAAATATCATTGTTTAGCTCTAATTATACAAACCATCTGAAAAATTTAACGCAATTCTGAATGCTATTTCATCTGATTTACCATTTGTTAATTTAGCTTATGATAGAGGAACTCATGGAATCTCCAGTTTCCAAATTCATTTAACAGATTCATCCATAGTATCTCATAGACTTATCGCAATATAATCACTTGGAGAACCATATCACCAATTGATTAGTCTAATAGTTCTAACTTACTTACTTCCCAGGACAGTGTTGGATGGAGAATGCTGGTGAACGGCCTATGCTCCTTCACGGGGAGTAACAGGTGTGGGCAATTCTTTCCAGTTGCTATCCATCCTTTTCATTTCTGCTTCCCATTCTCGATGCAGTGTGTTCTTCGGCTTTCTTCTTTTTCGTTTCCCTTCAGAATTCTAAGTTGTGGCTTGGCTCATGATTCAGTTAGGTGGTTTCCGTAATGTATATCCTATCCACCTCAAGCGTCTTTTCCTAATGACTATGTTGTAAGCTGGCAATGAATTACTTTTGTAGTGTGCATAAGTGCTCAACTATCAGAAATTTTCTAGATGTTGTCAATCCGTAATGAAAAATTTTGTCTAACAATTATTAAGTCGATTAACGAATAAACTATAACAGAAAAGTGTGCTTCCAATGCTATTCATACCGAAGGGTGACTATCAAGAAGAAGAGTGAAAAAGAGCATACGCTAATAAGGGCTACTATCAAAAGAGCAAATATTAATGCATGTGATAATTGAAAGGGGGAACAACATTTTTTAATAGTATGAAATATGTTCGATTTACACTCTCTCCCTTTCTAAATATATCGTTAAGGGTCTACTTTCAATGACTGAAAATGTGATGATGGCCATAGAATATGTATGAAAATTGTATATATTTCATACGATTAAAAATGTTATTCCATCTTTCAATTATCACATGTATTAATAATTGCGCTTTTGATGATTGCCGTTTTTTCACTCTCTTCTTCGGATCCATACAATAAAATTCCGTCAAGAAAACTGTTCAATAAATATCCAATTACTCATAAGTAATATAGTTAGAATATACATATTTCACTGTTATTTATCGTATCCAAGTTTTCAGTAATTTAATTCAATTTAATTTATACATTGCTTTTATGTTTATTTTAGCTCTGAACAACAATCAAATGATATAAATAATGATATGAATATAGTCGGTAATATTGGTCATGCTCCACCATTTATACAAAGACCATTTGCACCATTTTCTCGTGCTATACAACAATCTAATCTTTATACAACAAATGGATTAACTAATGAACCAGGTGCTTTAAGTCGTTTATCTTATACAGAATTAGAACAATTACTTATCTCATTAACAAATGATTTAGAAACTGAATTAAGAAATTTAGCAGTTCGTTATCGTCATAAACGTCAACCATTATTAGATGCAATTGCAGAGAAAACAGCACAAGCATCAATAAAAACAACAAATACTATCAATAATGATATAACATCAAAATCTAATCCAATTTCTCAATGTTGATAGTTACTTTTTTTCTATTAAATGACTTTCATTATTATTTATTTATTTATTTTTTATGGCATGGTAACCATTCATAACCTTACAACTTGGACCGATGCATATATGTGCCTGGTCCTACATTGCATCTGACTGACTGACTGACCACTTATTTCTCCCTTCCTCCTTTTTTTGTTGTTAGTTATGATTATCAATTATTTATTCCCCTTTTTGTCCTTCAATGAATTTGTGCTCATTGTGAACTATTGATAGAAGATAGGAAATGTGTTATTTCTTAGTTAATTTTCATCATTATCATCATCTCATGCTTAGTTTATATTTGTTTTCTATTGACAACTGTATATTAACCTTGTATATTTACATGAATATATATATATATATATACTTCAATAATTGGAATTTTATTCGTTATAGTTTATTGTTTGAACACTTTTGTTTAAATTCAATGAGTGTGTTGATATGTTTTGTATTATGCTGCATATGGGCTACAGTATCCTGAAGGAATAAATGGTGTATGAACCTATTGTTGGTCACCGGGTACCATGGCTTTGCATCTCCTTACGATGCTCCACTGCCTTGTGGGTCAGACCTTTAGGTCAAAGGCTCCGAGTGTGGCCTTCTAAGAAATCCAATTGTTTCGATTTGGGCACTTTGGCAGTATCCTATTTTTCACATAAATCGAATGATTTATTTGGTGCCTCCTTGTACCATTGTTTATTTGCTTAAATAAATAAATAAATACTATCAGGAGGGTTTTTTATATTATAGTGATTTCACCGGTTGAGATCATGAGTCACTGGGAGCTATACCACCATGGAAAACCTGGAAACACTAAACGGCCGTTACATCCTATTGTGAGACTCCTCAGCAGTGATAGGTCTTAGGTTCGAATTTTGTGGGGGGTGAGATCATGGATGCGCACTGCTGAGGAGTCCCACAATAGGACGAAACAGCCGTCCAGTGCTTCCAGGTTTTCCATGATGGTCTAGCTCCAATCGACTCATGATCTCAACCATTGAAATAATTATTATGCATACAAAAGTATTCATTAGCATTTCCATATAGAAGTCAAGATTTTGTATATTTCGATAGAACTCATATATATTTTCTTTTCTGTTATATAAATTTCATAGTTGAATTTTATTTTATTTATTTATTCAAACACATAAATATTGGTACAGGGAGGCACCAAACAGACATACGCCACATAAATCATTCGATTTGTGTGAGGGCTGGGATGATGCCGGCTTCTCAAACTGATATCGGTTATTTTCTTAAGGGGGCCATACCCGGAGCCTACGACATAAAGTTCTATTCCACAAGGTAATGGAGAAACTTTGGGAGATGCAATCCCATGGTAGTCGGTGACCAGTTCGGGTAAAGCGCCGAATATTCGCTTTTCGTCCCCTCAATTTTGTAAACAACAGTAATGCCGCGAGAAGGCAGAGAGTAGGACTTCCCTGGCAGTGGTTGTATGGAAGTGGCCATGTGAGAGCACTTCGAAAGGGAGAGCTAATTCTCCCCATTCTCGTTCGTACCACAGCATTTGTAGGCTCGTAGTTGAAAGGTATTTTAAACATTCAATTGTTAGGTCACAAATCAAAATAAAATGTATCAAATTAATTAGTATCTGATCTGATATGTTTAATCATTTATGGATTAGTTTTTTTTTCTTAGTTGAATTTTTGTCGATTAATCTGAAATTTAATAGTTGAATTCATGATTCAATTGAAGCTAGACCACCGTGGAAAACCCGGAAGTATTGGACTGCCGTTTCGTCTTAGTATAGGACTCCTCAGATTAATATAAATGATTGGTTAGATTGTATTCAAATATTTTAGTGAAGATTTGATAGTTCACAATTGTATACCTTACTATTCGTTATCGTTTAAAATGAATGCTTTTATAAGCGATTATATGCTATTAAGCTATCAAGTATAATCATAGTTTACTATGTGAAAATTCTTGTAAATTGAACGCTATATTCGGTTCCTAAGCTATTCTCATAACTTTCAAGCTAGAACTACACAGCGACCTGAGCACGAGAGAAAAGAATCAAAATATGCGAGAATCACTTTACTCCAAAGGTTCGGTTAAGTACAGAAAATATAGGGTTTTTATGCGATTTTTAGATGTCCTTGGTTTTCCCGAAGATTCTGGAATGCTACTGAACGTAGTAGCATTATAGCAATCAGAAACTTTACATGTAACTTTTCAGTTTCTTGATGTTTCTGGCTAAACTTCAAGTGAACTCTGAGTGGATAAAATGCTTCTTAGTGTTTTTCTGATCCTTGCTTGTCTTTGCGAGAAGTTTTCTGTATCACCCCAACACTATGTATGCATCCATTTGTTATTTGCGTAGATTCAAAACCTCATTCTGTACATAAGTCACTCGAATTCTTAATATTGATCAACTGGAATAGGTTAAATCTCAGTTATAGGAAAATTATGTTGGTTAATTTATTTATTTATTTTACTTGAACACATAACTATTGGTACAAGAGGGCACCAAATATATACGCCCCACACAAAATTTTATTTGTGTGTGGGCCGTGATACTGCCCGGGTGCCCAGAACGAAGCAGGTGGTTTTCTTAGGGGGCCACACTTCGACCTGAAAATCTGATCCACAAGGCAGTGGAGCATCGTGAGGAGATGCAGTCCCATGGAAGACGGTGACCAACGATTGGTTCATACTCCATTTGTTGCTTCATGATACTGGAGCCCATGTGTTCCAGTTAAAGTGCCAGACATTCTCTTTTTGTCCTCTCATTTTCGTAAACAACAGTAATGGTACGAGAATGCAGTGAGTAGGACTTCTCTGGCAGAGGCTATATACGCCTGGCCATGTGAGAGCATTTCGAGGGGGAGGGCGGGCCCACCCAACTCTCAGCCATACCAGGGCATTTGGGGGCCTGTTCGTTAAACCCATTAAAAGTTACCTAAATATCAAGTAGTTATCAGTTGTTGTTTTTTTCTGATTGATTTTCATTCACAACTAATTGCTTTGAACTAAGAGGCTTACATCTTTAAATTTTATGTAACTTTATCTTGTTAAACTATTTAAATTTGTTTTATAACTCTCTCTGTTATTTAACTTGCTCTCAGTAGAACCTTTGTTACAGATACATTGATATAGGCGAATATTTTGCCCCAACTTTTCGTCAATGATTAGTATTCACATAGATTTAGACGAAGATAAGACTTACTTTGTACAATATTGCGCTTTTTCGCATCTCTTGTGATAGGATAGGTAGAATCAACTCTGAGTTTCTAAAACAGCTCATTTGATCAACATCAATATTCCTATAATTTCTGCTCAGTTCTCCTTTATGGTAAAGGCTGAATTGTTTGTCAAACAATAAGACATCAGTATTTATTGACAGCACCAGCATTACTCATTCAATACGTACTGGTGATATAAAGGGATAAGCTTACTAGTTGAAACTACTTATTCCGATGTAAAAACATGTTGATTCATTATATTTTATATTAGTCTACAAAACATTAAATATATTTAATGCTAGCTTGCTCTATGAAATGAAACTAGATACCTTTCATTCTAATTAAGATATGTCAGTAGGTGGATTTACATGAATCACTTCTCGATTGACAGTTATTTAATTGTGAATGATGTTTGAATTAACAGTTATTAGTTTTATCAGAAGGGGTTGTGTGGAGATTTTTGAAATTTCACTGGTTGAAATCATGAGTCAATTGAAGCTAGACACCACTATGGATAACCTGGAAGCACTGGATGGCCGTTTCGTCCTAGTATAGGACTCCTCAGCAGTGCTCATCCACTATTCCGCTACCCGCGAGATTCGAACCAAGGACATATCAGCCTCGCGCCAGGCGCTTAACCAACTAGACCACTGAGCCGGTTGGCATCCAACGGTGTTAATGTCTAAATTCAACCAATCCACAAAATCGCGCCACCGTACACCATTGTCTTCAGTGAGCTGATATTTCATAACAGCCGTCTAGTGCTTCCAGGTTTTCCATTATGGTCTAGCTTCAATTGACTCATAATTTCGACCATTTATTAGTTTTGACACAGTTTACTTGATTAGTTTCTATTGTTATATTGTTTTACTGATTTGTCTACCATCAAGAGTATAGTCACAATATAAGGGTTATCAGTATAAAGGAAGGTTAATCATTCATTTAAGAGATAGAGTTTTTTCATTAGCTAATTTAATGAAATATGATCAGAAATTTATATTAGTAATGTAATGATATAAGTATTCAAATTTTATGACTGAATAAAGGGACAACAACAAATTCACTTCTAACTTATCGAAAAGTTACTTACTTACTCCTGTTACTCCCAATGGAGCATAGGCCGCCGCCCGGAGTCCTTCTGGAGCTGCTACCGGTCCCAAACCCGGACAAAAGTGGAGGGTTGGGCATGGGATTAGCGATTCCATCTCGAAGAAAACTAACTCGCTAAAAAAACGCTAACTAGAAAGAAATAATTCAAACCATTTATCGAAAAGTAAGAAAATACAAATCACAATATATCTGAAGAATGAAATAAATTCATTGTATTCTTGTATTCAACTACATAAAATTCTCTAATGTTACTTTAAAATATTATGATAATTAGAATTTTATAGTTGAATTTATGAGTTAATGAAGGCTAGAGCACTATGGAAAATGTGGAAGCACTGAACGGCCGTTTCGTCCTAGTATGGGACTCATGAAGTTCTAGTGAGAAGCCGTGACTAATGTAGTTCCACCGGGTCTGTTGTGAGATAGTAACTTACTGATGACAATGGTGAACGGTGGCTCAATTTTGTGGATTGATTGAAGTTAGACATTAACACCGTTTGATGCCGGCCCAATAGTTTAGACGTTAAGCGTTCGTTCCTGGGTTCGAATCGATAATTTTAATGTTTGATTATATTTCCTTGAAAAAGCTTGGACCAGATTGTCAGGCGAAATGTTTAATTTACTTTAAATTCATTCGCTGAGATTTTATAAATACATTCTTCTTCTTTAATATCTTACATCAACTCGGCGCCAAAATACTTACCTACATACACCTGTTATTCCTCATGAAGGAGCACAGGACCCTCACCAGCATTCTCCATCCAACCCTGTCCTGCACAATCCTTCCCAGTTCTTTCCAGTTGTTATTCATTCTTTTCATATCTGCTTCTATTTCCCGACGAAATGTGTTCTTTGGCCTTCCTCTTTTCCACTTTCCTTCAGGATTTCAAGTTAGGGCTTTTCTCGTTATTCAGTTTGATGATTTGCGTAATGTATGTCCTATCCATTTTCATCGTCTTTTTCTAATTTACTCTTCAGCTGGAAGTTGGTTTGTTCTCTCCCACAGAAGGCTGTTGCTGATGGTATCCGGCCAATGGATGTTGAGTATCTTGCGTAGACAGCTAT